GTGCCTCTCAGGCAGCCCAAGTGACCAGTTCGAGGGTTTGGGGACTCTTGTTCCTTCAAGTCTGGCGAGTCGTAGGAGGTCAGTAGGTTTCAGTTTAAACCATAGATTAAGTGGTATGAAAAATCTAAAGTATCTCAGAGTTAATACTACAGCCTGATGTTGTTAAATGACTTCATTTTACAAGGTGGATAATAACATCACTGGCGAGAAAAATGTCAGCCAATCAGCTAGGAAAAATTTTACATGGGCTTCATTATCAGCACAGCCCTTCTGCTGTTGTCTCAGGATCTGGTCCTTCCTGGCTCTTGTCCAGGACAAATATTCTTCCTTTCAAGCCGCCTCTTACATTGTTTCCTAGTCATTTCCCTAGCCAATTAACATTTGGAACATGCTGAGTTTTTACCGTTTCATTAGCGATTAACAGTCACCACCTCAAACTTGCATCTCATCATTGTTCTTTGATCGGACTAACCTGCATTGCTTTATGCTTGAGATGATGGCTGTGGAGATCAAAAGCCCCTCGTCTGCTTTAGTTGGCAATCAGTACCAGGAACAGATTATTATTACTCTGATTATTTTGAATTCCCAAGTCGTAGAGGTTTTCCTTTAATTATATATTGAGGGGCTGTTTTGTCCTTGTGCTCGAGGTCTCTGCAGCTTGAGCGAGAGAATTTGTATGCCTGACCAATGAAACAGCAATGCAGGCCCGGAGCCCGGGAGTACCAATATCTAAATTAATTTCCCATTTGGGTCATGGATTAAATGGTATTGAACTTGCAGCCTTATGGATTGTATTTGCCAGCTAGAGTATCTGCTGAGCACACTGTCAAATGTAAGTGGCAATAATACAGAGATAAGAGAGGAGATTGGTCCAGGGGCCAATGAATGGGAATCCATCTGACCCTCCGTGAACCTGAAGCGCTTGGCAGAGAGCCTTGCACAGAGTAAGAGCGAAATTAATACTTGTGAGCTGAACTCTGACCCCGTCCCAGTCTGACAGGTAGGATTCCTGTCCTCCTGGGTGAGTTGTCTCTGAGCTGACTGCCACCGAGGCTGTTTCAGGAACACACTGTGCCGTGAATTCTTGTTCTCTTTTTTGGCCTTGGAAGCCCAAGCTTGTCCCTTTGGGGATATATATCCTCCTTGTTTCTCATGCTGCACAGCAGCTGAAGCTGAGTGGACCGTGTTGAATTTTTCAGATATTTCCTGTATGACCGTGAGTGTACATGCAGTCTCACATATATATGCATAGACTGAGGCATTAGTGTGTGTATGCAAATATATATTTAAAATAAGCTCACAGACAAACCTTACATGCAATTAACTTGCAGAATTAAGTCCTTTTGAAAATTCTCACCCCGTAGACTTACTGAAGTTTGACGTCATAAGCAGGTGACGTGGGAGAGCGTCATCGGGGCCTCTGTCCTTGTAACTGCTTGCCCGCGGTGGTCTCTGATAGGTTCATTGGGCACAGAATCCCCGATTCGGCAGTTGTGGCTGCTGAATTATTCCACCCACCAGGTACTTACTGGCAATGAATGGGTGGATTCCTTCTGTTCAGTAAATGCAAGCATTTCCATTTTTCTCTGTTTCTTTTTGTATTTTAACCTCAAATGTGAGCCTATTGGGAATTAAATCCAAGTTAGTCTAATTGTCTTTCATAGCAGTCATCATGTTCCAGTAATGCCTATTACTGCAGCAAACAGCACTTAGTGTCTTGATCTCTTGCTGTTTGCTCTGAATGTTCAAGTCTGTGCTGGAGTTCTGGGTGTAGTATTTGTGACCGAGGCAGCTTATCCTCTCTGCCTCCACTCCGACTTGCCCTTTAAAAATGTCTTAGTCACTGCTAAGTTTAAAATTGGCCTTTATACATAGGAAGCTGCCCTTCTCTATGACCCCAATATTTTACTCTGACGATTCTGTCATCCTTATGCCTCTTCTGTCATCCTTTCTTATTCAGTGGGCTTCTCTTTTTTTAACCTCTTTCATTTTCTCACTTGCCCAGCCACCGCTGTTACCAAACCAGAAAGAATTACCTGACTCACCCACCTATTTTTATCAATCCAGCCAAAGTACACCATGCCCCCCTATCAGGCGCTGTTCTGTCCTTGTGCTTTCTTTTCCTGTTATTTAACCCAGTTGCTGATCCCAAACATTCCTAATCAGATTCTTTAGCTTTGTTATGTCTGAGTTGATTTGTCCCCATGCATGAGTGAGTGTGTCACACCTCTGCTCCTGGCAGGATTCTTGTCTGATCAGTCTTGCATCTCCTGTGTTTGCTCTAGGCAAGCAGAGTCCTGTCTCATTAATGTAATCCTGATGTTCCAACCTCATCCCTCTATTCTCTTAACGATTTTACCCATTGCTCCCCAAGCTTTCTCACTTTGAAACACTTGAAATATTTTTTAAAGATTTTAGAATTAGTGCTCTAAAAAACATGGAAGCCTAAGTAGTACCCAGTGATAGATTAATGAATGAAAAAGATTTCTTCTCCCTCGCTTCTTGCTGTTCTGGAAAGGATGAACTCATTGTCTTTCCTCCAAAACTGTTCTTCTGCTGGATTCCATCTCCCTTTCTCAAAGAACTCAAGCTGAAAACGGGATCCTCTTTGTTATTTCTGAGTTGTGAATACTTGACCTTTCTTCTCTCCCCCCCCCCCCCCCCCCGCCCCGCCCCCGCCACTGCCTTGGTTCTCACCCTCACTCCGCTATGCCTGGACTGTTGCAATAGGCTTCTGTCTCCCTGCCACCCTTCTTCGGTCCACTCTTCATGCTGCCATGTGAGTGGTTTTTCTAAAACTTAGACCAGTTTGTGGCTGTTCATTGTTGCAAAATCAAGCATTAACTCCTTAATATGCCCTTCCATTACCCTGCCCTTGCCAACTTCTCCATCCTTGTTTCACTTGTCTGCACACATTTCACATTGCACTAATTCCAGTAGGCCCCTGGGCATTGGTGCCTGTTGCTACTGCTGCAGAAATGCCTTCTTTTCTGCAGGTATACTAAGAGCCCATCAAGGATTGGCTCAGACATCTTCTCCCTGCCGAAGCCTTCCTTGACCACTCAGTAGGGTCAGTCACTTGCTTCCGTGTTCTTTCTCCATATGTTTTAGGTACCTTCGTTAATTCAACTCCTCTCTCAATCTCTCTCTCCCTTATTCTAGTGTGAGATTTCCAAGGTTGGAACAATGTTTTATTTACCTTTGCATCCTACTGGCCTGCTGTGTCTCATAGTAGGCACTCAGTAAATATGTATTAAATTAATTTGAATGAGAGAATAAAGGCCTTAATAACTTTTTTTTGGAAAGAGAAAAGCCATGAATAGTGAATCTTGGGAAATAAATGAAAGTGACAGATTCCGATGATTCAGTGCACCATGGAAATGATCATACTAGGTCATTTGACAGCAATTATCATTTGGATAAAAGCTTGCGTTTCCTCCTCTATAACCCGCATTTGAAAGACGGGCTTTGAAGAGAAGAACAACATGAATGCACCCTCCTTTCTTTGAAAGAGCAGTGTGCTCTTTGATGGTGGAGCTTCCCAACTGTGAGCAATAAACAGCCTCCTCTTTAACTGAACTCATCATCACGCATGCTTCTGGGGGCCCACCTGCTGCCAGCCCGCAAATGAGGCCTATTAATGATATTACTCATTTCAAGTCTGGAAATGGGAACACAAGGGAAGGAAGACCCCAAGTACCCCTACTGGCCATTAATCCATGTTATTAATGGAGGCGTTTTTATCAATGCCAGTCTCTCATCCTTTTAATGAAGGAGTTCTCATTATTTCATTGTTTACAAGTTAAAAGGTGTGTGTGTTTAAAAATAGAGATTCATGAGCAGAAAAAAATTATCCTTGCTGTATTTTCTCTCCAAATTTAGTAAAATCGATTTCGGGGAGGGTGGTTGTGGGGATCCTTCTAATGACATTTCTACTCCAAGAGCTATGGCCTATTTTAAAAGATGTATTGAAGAGCATGCTAATGTAATTGCCACTGTGTCACTGCCTGAAAGCTCCTATTAGCTAGTAACAGGCTTATATAAAAGGGCTGAGGAAGGAGACCCAGGAAGTCTGGAATCCAGAGAAGGCGGTGGGGAGGCAGGCATCTCCTGGGAGGAGGTGAGGTTCGGGGGCTCCCAGGCCTGGGCTCTTCTCCAGGCTTTTAGAAATGTTGAGATATGTGTGAGGTTGTTACTCATGAGGAGTACTTACTCATTATTTCTTAGATGGGCGGTGAGATCTTAGATACATCAGGATGTTGAAACAATCATGTCATCATTGTTATTTCGTGAGAGCCTTCACTCCTTACCAATAGCATTCGCAGGCTTATATAAAAGGGCTGTTTTTACCTGGACATGCAATGCAGCCAATTGTGTGCTTCTACTAAAATGGTGTAAATCATCAGCAAACCTCAAATACTTTACACCCTATTTGAGGCAAATACGATGAAAAAAGAAATGCTGATGTATCGTCTGCTGATTTCACCGTTACTAATTGCTATTTGACTAAAGCTTAGTTTTTCCTTGATCCTAAGGCAGATCTTTAATTTCGTTTTCCCCTTGGGATTGTAAACCCTTATCGTGCTTTATCTTGTATCTGTATTAATTTAGAGCCACAGTTTCCTCATGCATCTACCCAGCTGTCAATGATGAGTAAAAGGCCGTTGCTTAATTATTTCACTGAGGCGTGCAGTGCAAGGGTTTGAATCCAGGTTCTGCCACTTATTAGCTGTGTGGCATGGGCTGATATGTCATCGCAAAGTCTCAGTGTAATCATTTGTTCCATGGAGCTAATGAGAGTAGTGCCTAACCCATTGGTCTGTATGGAGGATTAGATGATGTAATCCTTTTAAACGGTTTTTTGATGCCTGGTACATAGTGAGCCCTTGATACATTTTGTCTCTTATAATCTATTAAGGCTATTCTCTCTACTCCTGATTCTTGAGCTTGCATTTTTCTTAAGGTAAGAGAAAAATAACGTTGTGACTTGTTTTACTCAGCTGCACACAGAGTCCAGCTTCAGGAGGATTTTTAAATTGCAATAATAGTGAAGACAAGAATCAGCACAATTTACAGTTTAAAGTTGATGGTAAGTGTCCAGTGTTGGGGTAGGAGGGGGGTACAGTCTGTAGGTTATGAGGGAACCAGGGGAGACGGGTGGCGGGGAGGAGGAGGAGGCGAGAGGAGATAGGAGAAGCTTGGGCCTGGTGGTCCAGCAGAGGGGCTGCTCCCCTGGAGTAAGGGAGACCACACGACAGAGAGTCTCTGAATGATGTGAGGCCCTCTGGATCCCTGCAGGGGAAGGAGACGGGGGTTTTATGGGTCTCACTTGGGGCCCAGGGAACAGTGGTTGACAATATGGTGATGCTTCTGAAGAAAACGAAAAGCAGCCTCGTCTCGTGCCAGAATAAAGAGGGTAACAGGAGTTGAATATTCCAGGAGGCCCGCTATGGAGTGCAGTCCCTGCCTCAGAGCCATGGCCAGGGGCCCCTGTAGAATAGAGAGCCTTCGCCCCACCCTAGGCTGACTCGAGCACCTTCCCTGTGCGTGTGGCAGCAGCCAGGAAAGTTGGCAGCATGGTGCAGCGATGGACCCCAGGTTTAAGGAGGAAACTGGCTTCATGAAATTGGGAATTCCAGGGTAAGACTATGCCCCTTAGTTGGCTGGGTTGCATCTCTATGTCTGTGTAAGCCAGGCACTTGGTCAGAGAGCCACCAGGAGGAACACGTCTCAAAGCAAACCCCGTTCTGCAGGGCTGGAAGATCTCAGCAAGTTGGGGTGCCTGTGGTCATGCTCTTAGCACTGTGGGTCAGAGACTTGCACTTCGGTGGCATCAAAGATCTCCCCCTGGGGAACCACCTGTTACACAGCATTTGACAGTCACTGATGCACTTCACTTGATCTCACAACATGCCTGTAATATAAGCAGGACGGTTGTCCCCATGCCCTTTTGGGGGGGTCGCCTAAGGGCAGATCAGCGGGAAATGAAGAATCCGCTGTAGAATCTGTTTCTCCTCACTTCCAGTCTAGAGGTTTTCCTAACACTTCACTGTCACCAGGCAAGTACTCACACCCCTGCCCCCATTTGCTCCATTAATAAGGCTCAGTCTGCAGTCAATCATTTCCTCACCAACTTCTGCAGTTCTGAAAGGAAAATAACAATGTTCCCGTAAACAGATGATACAGTTTTTGAATCGAGATATTCATTGGTTCCAGGAAGGATGGAAGGAAGAATGCATTAAGCATTGATTTAGAAGGAAGGAAATCAGCTAAAGTTCAAGAAGCCCCTTTGTGAAACACCGTGTCTCTATGGGAAGATGGTAGATTGCATTTTATGTACCCGACCTTGAGCCCAAGAAACCAGAGGCGCGGTGCTCGTGGCTTTGGGTCTTTCCAGGTCTGACCTATGAATCAGTTACCACAGAAAGCTATAAAATCTCTTTCTCTGGAGGTATTTCAGAGTGAGGCAGATAATTTCAGAAGGGACCAGGCCACAGCTTGAAGATGAACCCAAGGACCTCTCGACATTTTCTAAGCATGAAGCTAATTCATGAGAATGTACAGGTCTGAGGTGTGCACGAGCGAGTCTCAGAGGTAACTTGTCTCAGCTCACGTCTTGTCCTGATCTTCTGCAGAGGCTAAAACGTCTCCAAATATGACTCTGGATGAAACAAGAAGTAGAGGAACATCCCACGTATAACTCAGACTCATTAATAAATAAGAAGAATGGTTAAAAATATGTACGGAACACCTTTCTTTATTCCAGGGACTTTCCAAGCTCTATGCTTGGGTTAACTCATTCGTTTTCACTGTGGCCTCTGCAATAGGTGCTGTTGTCCCAGTTTTAAAAATGAGGAAACTGAGGCTTCCAGTGTTAAGTAACTTGGCAAGCAAGAGGTAAATGTGGCTTCTCTAGCACGTTCTTCCCAAAGGGCAACACCTGCCTCTTTGGTGTGAAATCTAGAAAGAGTGTGTGTCTTGGAGAGAGACTGACCTGGGTGCAGACTCCAGCACTGCCATTTTCCAGCTGTGTGACCTCAGCAAAGTTATTTAACTTCTCTGAGTCTCAGTTTGTAAAACTGTGAAAGGAAGATGAAATAATTACTTTGAAGTGTTGTTTGTGAGGACGCACATGGAACAGAAACTCTTAGCTGTTATAATTTTGAAATATGTCCAGGGAACCTAGTTGGGTCAACGTATGACATGTTGAAGACTCGATTAGGCCTACCTTTAAACTTTAGGTGACCGTGTCAACTCATTCGTTCTCTTGTCATTCTTGAGAGAAATTGCTAATGTAAGATATCTCGAAGTCCGTGAAATATCAATAACATTAACATAGTGCTAATGTGAATAAATCAGCATGAACTAATCAGCATTCCTGGGAAAACAGAGCCAGGTGTCACCTTGTGGAGGTGAAACAGCAACTTACCGTGCACGTCTGAACCTGGCTGCATGGCCAGCTCCCAAGTGGCTGGTGGGAATGACATGCAGAAGTCACTGCCTTGGAGAGGAAGTTCCAGATGGTTCCTGAAGCCTCTGAGGGGGGTCCTGGGGTGGGGGTAGAGGACAGAGAGGAAGCCAGGCTAGACTTGCGCCCACCTGCCACTCCTCATCACCTTCCATCAGAGCAAAACTGCTTTGATCTCTCTTAAATATTGAGAATTTCATGTAAGATTTTGAAAAAATAATTCTGTTGTTTAAAAGAAAGTTTGAAAATCACATGTCAGAAAGTATGCTAGTCTGTATGGCTTTAGAATATGAATACTTTAAACCATTTTGGAAAATGAGTACTGGTAACCAGTGGTGAAAAAAGGTGGTCATTGTTTTCAGCCTACCACTGGGGCCTGGGGAAAGGAGGAGGAGGTCGGAAATGGTGGAGGGCCCTCCCTCAGGGGCTGAATGTCAGACCATTGCTGCCCTTCGCTGAGTGCTTCTCTGAACAAGGGCACTTTTATGAGGCAAATGAAATATAGAACACATTTGAAAACAACGGAAAGTTCCAAATAAGAGGCTAAGTAACTCAAAGATCTTCCGTGCAGAGAAGCACGGGAAGCCACAAGGCCCTGCTCGCAGAGGACCGAGGCTCTGTGGAGGCCGCCTCACCGAGAATAGTCGCAGCTGAATGTGGAAGAAGACGTTTTAACATGATCTCCATTGAAAAAAGATACACTCATTCCGTGTAATGAAAGTCAGACTCAAAAGTGGTGGGGATAAGTCATACTTGATTCCATTTTTACTTATCTAAAATGAAATAATAGTTATGAATGTGTTTGGAAAATGCAAAAGCTATGGGGATGTGAGGTGTTGGTCACTAATAACTCCATAATCTCCAAATCGTATTGTTTAAGTTTTGCACATGACTAGGTTAGACAATGGGTGGTGTGGCCTTACATTTCAAAGGATGAACTCAACGTCAAGAATTCCAAGTATTGTCACACTTACGTATTAGTTCTTTCTAGTGTAGCCTTTGGCAATCTCTTTAACCTCACACGATCACATTATCCGTGATTGTGCTCATGTCATCTGCAGTTCACAAGGACTGTTTTGAATGTATTAAAGACTGTAGGAAGTGTGGTGTTGCATGAATGTTAAAGGAAGATGAAATAATTACCTCACCACAATGCTGGTAAATGGTCTCATCTTGGGACAAATATTTGGCCCATTTTGGACCCAGAGGTATAGGAGTACCAGCTTCAGGGCAAGCCCAGTGTTTGACGGGGAGTCTCTGCTTCCTGGTGCAGGCTGGAGTGCCCCCCAGTGAAGGTCAATGAGAAGGTGGGTCACCCTTTCTTCTTCACAGTAGCCTCCAGCCACTAGGGAGGCTGAGAAAACTAGGACCAGACAGACACACTTACTCTGTACTAGGCCAGATAGGCAAGAGAGGTTTTTATGAGAAGGAATCTATTTTTAAGTTTGAGTTGTAGACAAATGTATAGCTAGTTTTCACAGTCATTGCAAAATAATACGTCAAAAGAACCAGTACTCAATTGGTAAGGGGAAAAAAGGGAAAATGTGGAATGTAGACTTTTTCAGGCTTTTAAAATCAATATTGCCATTCTTCTCTTCCAGTAAAAATGAACCCACTAGTAAGTATTAGAATACAGCTTGTAGCAGACAGACTCTCAGGTGGGACCATGCACTCTGTGGGCTGGTGCTCATGCCCTTGTGTGACCCCCCAGCCTTGAGGGTGGACGGGACTCATGACCTGCTTCCAACCAGTAGGACAGGGCAGAAGCGACAGGCTAGACGTGATTACAGGTCTGTAATGCCGCAGTTCTGTTACATGAGAATAGTGTCTGCCGTCCTGTGGTCTCTCCTTCTCCCCTTTGCTGTTTTCGAGGAGGCGAGCAGCCGCACTGGGGAACCCGTGTAGTGAGGAACCGTGGGCAGCCTCTACAAACTGGGGGCTGGCAAGAAAGCAAGCTCTCAGCCCTCCTGCTGCAGGGAGCACCATTCTCCAGCGCCCTGAGCGAGTCCCAGAGTGGGCCTTCCCCAGCTGAGCGTCAGATGAGGTCTCAGCCTCGACGCATTGATTGTAGCCTTGTAAGACCCTGAGCGGGGGACCCAGCTGAGCCTGGCCACGGCTCCTACCCCACAGAAACCGTGAGATAATAACTGTGCGTTATTTTAGGCCACTGAGTTTGGGTCATATTGTTAAGTAATGATGGATGCGAATACTGAATTTGGATTTTTCTCCACATCCAAAAGCTCACCTCAAGGAGAAGAGAGAGAGTCCAGGCCATTGGCATTAAACGACATGCTAGTCGTTTTGGAAAATAAACAGTGTATTCAGGATTGTTTCTATATTGATTTACCTCTAGCCAGACTCTCTTTTATGCATTTTCAAAAAACAAACACACACTATACCCAGGGAATATTTTGAAGGGAGGAGTTGAGCTTCTGATATATTCAGAAGGTGAGAATTCTTCCCACCTGCACCCCAATTTTAACTTAGTCCAATGGCATTTTAAATTTTGAGCTTTGGAGGAAAATAATTCCTTCCTTCCTTTTATTTTTTTGTTGAAAGGATTTAATACATTGGGGGTTTTTTTTTTCTTTTCAGTGACTTCATTTTCATCTAACATGTGTAGGGCAGAGATCTCTCTAGACAATGTTTTAAATCTCTAACTCCAGTAGCATTTGAGGTTGTAACAGAATGGAGGACTTTAGTTTTAATTACTCTAAAATAACATTTTGCTAACTTTTCATTTATCTGCCTAATTCTTTACAAGTACCTTGGGATCATAAAAACTGAATATTAGTCAAAGGTTGAGCTCCTTAATTCTTTTTGTTTTTAAAGATTTTATTTTTCCTTTTTTTCCCCAAAGCCCCCCTGGTACATAGTTGTGTATTTTTAGTTGTGGGTCCTTCTAGTTGTGGCATGTGGGATGCCACCTCAGCGTGGCCTGATGAGCGGTGCCACGTCCGCACCCAGGATTCAAACTGGCGAAACCCTGGGTCACCAAAGCAGAGCACAGGAACTTAACCCACTCGGCCACAGGGCCGGCCCGAGCTTCTTAATTCTTAATCATTTTTATACAAGAGACATAGGATGCTTTATAACATTTTTAAATATAGTTTTGTTCCTTGAAAAAGGAAGAAGGGGATTTGTTATTAGCATCCAAAGTGCATGCCCATCGTTTTGTAACAGCTGCAGCAGAGTAACAGCTGACATCCATTGGGTGCCCACTACTTGCGGTGGTCCCCACAAGCAGCTGACGATGTGGATCCTATTGTTATGCCCATTTTACAGCTGAACTGTGGGATGAAAGGGTAAGTGCCTTCTCTAGAGTCTCAGATATGGTAACGGGGAGAGCAGGATGGCTGCCAGACTGACTCCAGACCCTGAGATATCACTACTTACCCCTAAAATCCAGGATGGAGGCATTTCTGTTGCTAATTGGCTTCCCCAGGAGGAAAGAGCTAATGCCTTTGTTCTAAATAGTCCGAGCATGCGTGGTACAGGCTGACTCTGTGACTTCTCCTGCCTGTGTTTAAAGGCACACAGAGAAAGGCAATAATAATAATACTATAAAAATCCCTGTTCAGTGAAATACAAAGTAAAAATTGTTATAACATGGAAAACTTCACTTCTGAACTGACCCCTTTAGCATCTGCTGGTATGAGCACACCTCTCCTGTGTTCACTCTCTGCCCTTGCCCTGCCCATCTTTCCACTCAGGCTCTCTTCCTTCTTAAGAGATCCATAAATATCTGCTGTTACTGATTCCTGCTCTTAACAATGAAGAAGAGGGAAAATTGAAAATCTTGCAAAAGATTCAGAGTTTCCTGGGATCGATAAGAAGCTGTGGGCAAACTGGTCAAACCTAAAGACAGAATTGGTCTAGTTGGAAATTGAAGGTGAAACATAACCAAGAGTGCGGTGGCAGAGGCTCTTCAAAGGACGGTGATTTGTGTGTCAAGGGATTAAGAGAGGCTTTTGGGAAAATTAATAAAGCCCTTGAAAACTTTTACTAAAATGACCTTTTCTAGCCTGGACTGGGAAAGTTCAATATGAAGTGAGGATGTTAAATTTTGCTATCATTTAATTTTGTGCTATCGTATAAATTTCCAGTAAAATTTTTAAAATTATGCCCCCTCTAAAAACGATAAAAGTCAGTAATTGATTCCTTTTCAGGGCTCCTTTTTGCAGCCTTCTTCTTTCTGCTCTGTACTGTGAAATTTAGCTTCTGTTTGAAGTGGATTCACTTTGAGTGGCCTTTTCTTGGTACCAGTTATCCTTGAATAATGAGCCTTCCTGTGCTCCCTGTAGACAAAGCCCAGTTATTTAACTTTTCATCACTGGGCCAAGTGAAAGAGAAACTGGACATCCACTTGTCCTGCGGCTGCAGAGGGGAGTCCACCTGATGGGGAGAAGGTGGAGTTTGGGCTTCGTGACCTTCAAGGCTCGCCACTCCCGACGCCAAAGCCCCACGCAGGCCTCTGAGCTGTCAAATCAAGAAGACCCAGTAAAAGCCTTGAGGCAGCAGTAACTGCCCGGTGACATTCAAGAACAGCTCCTCATGGGGGGCAGTCCTGCTGTCAAGGCCTGTCTGGGTCTGGAGCTTCAACAGTACGTGCTGCATCTTCGTTCATCTCTCTTTTCTCCATCTAGTATTTCCTTTAAGCAACCCAAAAACCACCTCTCTGAGGGCCTTTCAACCAGTAATTCTTGCTTTTTTACTTCCCGCCATTGTGTATGTGTGTCTGATTGTCTGGTTGATGATTGCAGTGCCTTTTCCTCGAACCTCTTATTGTTTAGGGCTTGTGCCCACCCACCTTTTTCTAAATCCTGGCCGACTCAGGGCATCTGCCGTGGTTACTTCATGGGAATCATTGCTGATGCCAAGCCTTTTGAAAACTTGTCAGGCTTTACAATGATGAGATGTCAGGTCCTTGTGACGCTGGAGCTCCTGTCTGTGTACTGTCCCAGGACGGACAGAACTATTAGCAAAGTTAGAGCTGGTTACACCTGGGAGTCGTCAGGCTCCCTGTTTCCGAGTTGAGGCTGGTATTGCACTTTTTTTTCAACATATTGTCCAACTGATAGGAAATTTAGTCCGCATGTGGCAGTGAGAGCCGTGGGTATGTGTTGGTTTCTGGGCTTGTCCTCTCTCCTGCAATCCTTTCCGAACGTGTTTCCCCACGAGTCTGGCCCATCCCCAGTGCTGTGAGTGCCAGGATTCCCAGGTCTGGAAAGATCTGCACAGAGAAATGAGGCCCTGGCCCTCCCAGTGGTGTTCACTGAGGAACTCCTTGATTTTCAGTATTACGTCTATTAAACGTCTCTAACTCTTTCAGCCAATGTACGGAGTCTTAATTTGTCTGCTGTAGAGATGGATGGTTCTGGCTGTTAGGTGCCAGAGTACGGACTAAACACGGAGGAAGGAAGAAGATGAATCTTAAAGGAGGTATAATTTCCTTATAATCTAGTACGTTAGCAAGAGAAGCTTTAAATGGTCATTGATCATTTTTATCATGAAAATGTTAATGTGCAAAGCACTTTACTAGACATTATTGGGTAATTAACCACATAGAAATCTAGAGATCTCCATCCTCAAGGAATTTCAATCTCCTGAAACAGACACAAAGGCAGTAACCTGAGAACCATCACTAGCACACACCAAATAGCACATCATTGTAAAAAATGATTCTTTGCAACGCTCTCTTAATTTCCTAGGAAATTTTGATATTCAGGATGTTTACCTGTCTGAGGATATACAATTAGAGAGTTCTGGAATTTTAGAGCTGTCAAACACATAAAGTGTCATATTGTTCAGTCCCCTCATTTTACAGATGAGAAAACAAGTCTGGAGAGGTTCGGTCATTTGCCCAAGGTCATGCCGTTAGTTAGCGGGCTCTGCTGGAGCCAGTCAGCAGGTCTGTTCTCGATAAGAGACCTATTTCTGCATCACTAGCTTAGGCTTTATAAGTGGAATGGCATACTGACCTTTCACAGGTGTGCTGAGAAAGCATAAGGTTTTGTTAGCCAAGAAAGCATTACAGGTGAAAATAAGAACGCAGAATGATGAAGCCACCTTGCCGGGTATTCTGCTTCTAGGGAGGTTGCAGTATGGCTTCTGGGCTTCTGTTAAGTCACTTACAAGTCAGTCTAACTCATTTTTTCCTAGCCCACCTACATGTTTCAACTGCGTGATGCTTTCTGAATACCAAGTATCTGGAAAGAAAAGGAGGCACGTTTATTTGGATGCTGTGCACACACACAAAATATAGAAGTGGCACCACCACTTAGCTCCTCTTCCTTCTCTGGTCCAGGGAAAGGAATGCTCATCATCGGGGTGTTCTTCCTGGGATGCATGTGGTTGGCCAAGGACATGATGCTCACAACCCTGCTCTGACCACAGTGGCAGCAGAGCCTCCACTTGCTGCTCTTTAATGAGGTCTATGTGGAAGCGCCCCTCGTTCTGATGGGGGTCCAGTCCCCTGTGCAGTCCACGCCTTTCCCTCGGAAGTCACCTGCTTCCATAAGACTGCTTCAGAAGAGGGGTTTTGCTGATGACCTCATTGGTTTATTTTGTTTCCAAAACCCAGAGGAGTGAGTGTGTATAAGAGGGGTTTCTAATTACTATTGGTTGTTTCCCTCCAGAGACTAGGTAGCAGCCCTAAAAATTAAAACATAACTTTGACTAAATTATATTGACAATGATAGTGTTTTTATTTCTGTCGACTGACACTTGTTTAACTTTTTCTCAGTCTGTTAGAAAATTACAAACAGAATCTGAAGAAATATTCTTTATTTTTTATGTCAGGAAGCAAGAAGTCAGGGAAGCACCACAGTTATCCGTGTCCTGAGGCTCCGGAATTGAGTACTCGTGCCATCCATAAAGAAAGAACAGTTATCAGTGACCTTTGTTCACCTATAACTTTCTGTATTTTGGCTGAGATGTAAAATCTGGGGCACCATTTTCATTGTGCTCATTATCTTTTGATAAATTTTAAAAACAATGTCAAGTAAAAGTTCTTACTCAATTTTACTTGTCTCTACCAAGTTCATAATTTTACTATAATTACTAGGATAGGATTAGGTTGAATTAGGCAAGTATTAAAAATAATAACTTTAGTTTGACATTTTTAGCATAAAAATCTCAGAAACTACTTCGTACTGGCATTATAAAGAATACTTTCAATATACCAATCTATGTTATTTAAAAGCTTCCTTTACTAAATGGTTGGAGTGCCTGATCCAATTCCTGGTACATAATAGTTACTCAATAAATATTTATTTACTGTTGAGTGAATGGTTTAGTTCATGTGTTTTTACTGTATTTGCACTGTGAGACAAGTACCCTAAGAATAATAGAATGTAATTACTTACAGAAAACAACATTTGAAAGGCTGATTACTTAACATTAAAATATTGATGTTTGTTATTACAATTCAACATAACTACCACGTTATGCTATACATTGCTCTAGTTGATTTTTAAACCTTGTAAACACGTTCCTCAGCTGAGCTTATTGACTGAAAGGATTACATTTGTAATCTCAGCTTTGAAATCACCAAAATAACAAGGTTTTGATATATACACAACGGTTTGGATATTACCTCCAAAAAAAAAAAAAAAATAGAGGCAGATCTGCTAACTGAGGTGGCCAAGCAAGGGGCCTTCTCTACCAATCTACCTGGAAGCACTTGCAGGCAAAAATGTTAAATAAGAAATGTATTCTTTCAAATGCACTAAACTAAATACATGTAAAAGACATTTAACTGATTTTTTAGCATGTATACTTCTCAAATTATTAAAGCTTTAAATTGTACTAAGATTTTTGGGAAAGCCTTTGTTAGAACTTGAAGCAAATAGCAGGAAACCCAGGCTCTGATCTGTTTTT